TCAAGTGGAATAATAACATTTAATATTCAGATTTTAGTTTAATATAGAAAAAGACATCCTAATAATTTGAGCTAGGCTAAACTTGAATAGTCTGCCTTATGAGGTATTGGGTTCCCTGCTCCTGAAGGTAATCAAGCCAAGACTTTGATGAGTAATTGTCAGGCTCTCAGTAAAGGGTTAAATTCAAGGAAGGCTAACATACCTTTTAAGTGGAAGATGATGATCCTAACTTGGAAAAATAACCCATATCCCAAAGATAATTTCCACAATATTGAGTATTTTCTCTCTTCGTTCCTTCCAACAGAAGTTTAAACAATATCTCATAGATCGTTAGCTAATTGAACCCTATTCACAAATGCTCAAAAAGAACTTTCTACTGAGGAGAACTATTTAAAAATCCTAAGAGTCAGAAGACAAGGTACTTTGAGACGAAAGGCTATTAGTCTCTATTTCAGCTCCTCCTAACTACAATATATATATATGTGTGTGTGTGTGTATATATATATTTGTTGTTGTTGTTATGTGCCATCGAGTCGGATCTGACTCGTAGCGACCCTTCCTTGGGTTTTCGAGGCAGTATCACTACGGAAGTAGATTGCCCATCTTCCTCCCGAGGAGTGGCTGGTGGATTTGAACCTCCATCCTTCTGGTTAGCAGTCAAATGCCTTAGGCACTATGCTACCAGATATATACATAAACCAAACGCACTGCTGTCAAGTTGATTTGACTCATAGCGACCCCTCCTTGGGTTTCCGAGGCAGTATCACTATGAAAGTAGATTGCCCAACCTGCCTTCTGAGGAGTGGCTGATAAATTTGAACACCCAGCCTTCTTGTTAGCAGTCAAAGCCTTAGGCACTGTGCTACCAGAGCTCCTTAACTAGCTATGGGCTATGTTATAGCCCCGACGGCAACAATAGCAAAGCTAATCAAGTCTCTGTCCTCTTAATACTGCACAAAATGCTCAGATTTAGTGTCCCTAGACAGATCTGAAAATAGAATCTGAGAGCCAAAAGGGCTTTTGAAATAATTTAACCCCACCTGTCTTTAAATAGCTGTAATAAAAAAGCTCTGGTGATGTAGTGCCTAAGGTGTTTGCTAACCAGACAGCTGGTGGTTCAAACCCACCAGCCACTCTGGGAAAAGAACACTGGGCAATCTACTTCCGTAAAGATTTACTGCCTCAAAAATCAACGGGGGTTGCTATGAGTTGGAATGAACTTGATGGCAGTGAGTTTGGTGGGTTTTTTTTTTTCAGTCTTAAAAAAAGAAAACAGAACAAAACTAATCCTGGCTTTCTAAAAATCCCATGATTTCCATGGAATATCATTTATAGACAATGCTGAGAAAAGGGTTCTGTGTGGTCCAATAAATTCAGGAAATAATGCCTCTTCAATCCTTTGTTGGAATCAGTGTGCACCGACATATGCAAGCCTTTGAATGCCTGCAGTTTAATGTTGTACCTGACTTTGTTTAATCTAGGTTTCCTTAACTTCCTTGTTAAAGAATTTTTTTTTTTTTTTTGGTATAACCCATATAAGTATGCCCCATAAATAAACTTCTAAGTAACACACTTTAGGGAGCATGAGCTAATTTAATTTATCATTTTAAAGTCAAGAAAATGGATTTTTATGATTATGGAGTGTTTGTGTAGAGTTTCCACAGTCACAGATCAAGTGTGAAAGAATCAGGAGAGTGGAAGTGGAATGCAAGAAGAGGACTTGGAGTTTGTTCAGTGCCATCTCCTTGTTCTTCAAGATAGGAAGGAAAACTGGGTCCAGTATCACACAGCTCATGTTAGTTAATAGCAGACTTTGGTGAAAAGAGCATTATTCACACAATTAGTAGCCTTGAAAGCAATTTGGCAGAAATAATGGCAGATAAATGCGAATGGGGAGGAAATTGCTTAGAAGTGAGACGCACGCAATAAGAAATGTAAAACAAGAGCACTACTTGATTTGTGCGATGTGATATGCTAAGGAAACGTGGAAACCCTGATTACACAGAAAGACCCACTAGGGAAAGTTTAACTCTCCTTCGTCAAATTCTAATGAGTGAAGATAGTGCTTAAAAAGCTATTTCATTAAATCATGAATAATGAAACCAAGGCCATTGTCTGTTGGATGCTCATTCCAGGGCAGTCGTGGTCAGCAGTCTGGCACAGTGCAGGGGGCGCCACTGCCTGGGTCCTAAACATGGGCCACGTTCATTGTCATTCACTCACCAAATCTAAGTAAGACCTTAGGAAGTCCATTAACCTCCCTGCACCACAGTCCTTATCAGTAAAATGAGGGTAATAAGAGTGATATGACCAAGCTGTCATGAAGATCTAATTAAAGACTATATAAATATTATACCAGTTGCTACAAAAGCATGCAATAAAAGCATGATATTTGTTTTACAAATTATAAATTGTTTTTCAATTATAAGATATTGCTATGATTTTTATTATTGGCTTTTAGTTTGTAATAGAGTGTTTTTGCTCTTATCATGACTTTGAGAACTTTGTTTTGAAGACTTTGAAAACCCGATTTTGCTAACACAGAGTATCTCTAAGGTAAAATCAGTTATCAAAAGCTGGTACTCTACCGGATAGCAACTGCTGGCTTTACAGTGATTTATGAGATTCTGCATTCTACTCGCTTATAAACTCCTTGGCCAGTTCTTTCATCACTTTCAATATGTAATTGCTGCACACTTAGTAGGTGAATACCACATCTGGTCAAAAGATTTATTCAGGTAAAAGTAATCAGAAACTTATTTTGAGCTGTCAGGAGAGACCATTTTGATGACTTATAGAACAAACACTGGAGATGACATAAAAGGGGAGAGGAATTGCCAAATAAGGGTATGAACAGAGGGGTCGCTTTACTGATTCCCATTCTGATTTATCAATATTTGAAAACCAGTGGGGCCATGCATCTCTTCACTCAGGCATTAAAACAATTTAACCCCATCCCCCCAAAGAGTGCACCGAGCATAAACTCCCAGAAGCCCTCATGTTTTCTTCTCCTCACTCTCGCCCCCTTGCACTGAACTTCCCTGGGGCCAGCTCTCTTCTCTGTTCTTGGGGAAACTGAAAACGATAAGACATCCCTGCCAGGGAGAGTGGTGGTGACAACCAGACATTAGGGGTTTATTGAGCACTTAGATTTTAATTGGATTTTTCCTTTTGTGATGTCATTCATCATGGCCACTGTAAAAGACAGAAGTTAAACAACAACAAATAAAAGGTTGTAGGCTGCCTGAGGCATGTTTTTACTAATTTCAGTTTAATGTGGCTGTTCCATTAAGTTTAATCATCTGGTTCACTTTTAACGATTCACCATCAAGTAAAAATTATCCACTTCCTCAGAAAGTCACATCTCATCTGTGGCTGGCAGGGCTTTTTACTACTGTACCTATAGCATTTTGTCCCAGAAGAAGCTCTTGATCTCTGTTGATTTTTTTTTTTAAATGCAGTACCTTGGCAGATAAATACAGGAATTTGTTGATATGGACATAGCCCCAAGGAAAGAATTACCAAAGCAGTGCCAGATTTTTTGTCTACTGGGTGCTGTAAGCCACTGGGGACATAGTACGTTTTTATCTGCAACTTGTGCTAATTCCAAGTGAGATCTGGTGTCGCAGTGGTTAAAGCACTTGGCAGCAAACCAAAATACCTGGTGTACTAGCTGCTCCATGGGAGAAAGCCTTTGTTTCTGTAAAGAGTTACAGCCTTGGAAACCCGATGGAACAGTTCCACCCGGTCTGACAGGATCCACGTGAGTCAGACTCTACTCGGCAGCAGTGGGGTTTGGTTTCTGGCTTTGTGCTAACTCCCAACATGACTTTGAATGAAATTCAGAGCTGCATCCTTAATTGTACAGATCTTAGTGGTTAACGAAGCTGGCTAATGCGGCCCTATTCCTCCCATTACTTGTGTGCTACTGAGTCACTGTCTGTGTCAGTAACCACATAGACTCTTTCAAACCAAAGAATTGTTGAGAT